AATGGTATGTTGATGTCATCAAAGCAATTATTGCTTGATATTGCATCTTTACAATAATGCCAAGTGACAGATAATTTTTCCTACCTTTCTGGGATATTAATTGTACTCGTAAAATAGAAAGAAAATTTTGGTACTTCGATATTGTATATTCAACTGGAAAAAATAAATTGGTTTTATTTTAATTAAAAATAACAAAATAATTAATTATAATAGATGAACATAATATTAAAATTTAAAAAATCATGATGATAATCTAGATTTTTGTTTTTAAAAAAAGGAGACAAATAATATATCCAATTCAAAGTTAATTAAACATTGCAAAATAAAAAATAAAAAATATTATATGGCTTATTTTAAAACAAAAAACTTAGGTTAATTTTTCAAACTCATGACATGGGTAATTAGACTCAAAGCACTTTATTTGAAAGAAATCATAAAACTTAATTTCAATTAAAAAGTCAGTAAAAAAGAAAATGTAAAAAATCACGAAGATAAAAAAAAAAAGTAAAAATAAAAGATGATATCAACATGCATTAACTTTTCAAATATATTATCTAGTGTATTAGATGGGAAACACTCTATTAAAAAAACCACAAAGTTCAATTTCAAACCAATTAAATGTTGATGGATCAATTTAAAAAAAGAATATCAATTACACAAGGATCTAAAACAAAAATTCATAATTAAAACAATGGGGATCAAAATTAAATTCATAACAAATTTAGTTTTTGATTGAAGGGTGTAATTAAAAAGAAAAATTAATTAAACTAAATAACCAAAAAAAATTAAAAGATTGAGGATCATAATTAAAATAAAAAATAAAAATAAAAATTTGATTGAAGAGTGAAATTGAAAAGAAAAATCATTTTAACAAAAGGCATAAGAAAAAGCAAAAGAATAAGGACCAAATTGAAGAATATAATATTTGGTAAATTAGAATTGAAGGATTAAATTGAAGACAAATAAAAATTTTAAAAAAGAATCAAGAACAAAAATTAAAAATCTAAAGAATAAGGACCGAAGTTGAAATATTAACAATAAAGAATGTCAATATGTGATTTTCTACAAAGGAGAGAGAAGAAAAATGGCTCACCAGTGAAAAATTTAATCACTACCATTGATAACACCACACTACTAGAAAAAGGACACGATAACACTTCCAACAATACAATGAAAAAGTATTTTTAAATATTGTGAGTGTTTATACACATTGTTTAAAGTGTGTTGGTGTCACCTACGCACCTTTAAGTATGTTGCACACATCGTAACTTTTTTTTATTATTATTATTTAGGTATAAAAAGACTTAATCAAGCCTAAGCTAAATTTATAAAAAAAAAAATTTTGTAAAAAGACAAAAAAACCCTTTAAGACAAGTTTTAATTTTTTAACTTTTAATGACATTTTAGTTGTGCCACTGATATATATATAGCTAAATACAAAATTATCCCTCATCTTATATGATAATATTGAAAAAGTCTTTTTAAAATTACCAAATTACTTTCTGATGCCATTATTGAAATTTTGATCTTTTCACCGTGCTTTTAAAATGAAAAAAGGATATTTTTTCCCTGATTAATTTGTTAATGACTAATGCATTATATGAAAAGACTTTAATACCGTTAATAACTAGTTTTATATTTTTGGTAGGAAAGACAAAAACTATATTACATTGTTCAAGAGAATAGTGCCTATAAGTTTGCTTTTATAGTATTTTTTTTTAATCCAGGTTTAGCTTTTGTTAAGTAGGTTACTTACCGTACTAGCTATGTTGCATGGACCAAAATGTTTTTGAATGTAGGTCATGTGAATTTTTTTCAACATTGCAGTAAACTTGGTATAACATGTTAAACATGAAAAATATTCTTGACTTAAATTGTGTGGGAGCTATTATGATATAACCTTGTCAACTTAACTCGTTCAAAAGAAAAAAAAATACAATTCAGGTTCACTTATTAAACTCATAACTTGGGTCATGGACTTTACTAAGTTTAATTAGATTTTTTTAATCTTATTATGTGATAAAAAAAATATAAAATTAGAGCTAAAATTAACTAGTTATTGAATGATAAAATTAAAAAAAAAAAACTAAATAAAAACACAATGTTAAAAGATGAGATTGAAAAAACAAATTAAAAAGCTAAAAAATCAAAGAGAAAAAAAAGGACCAAACATGCTTATTTTTTTAAATAGACGAATAATATACAACATGTCTCAATTTGTTTTTATTAAAAAACAGCACATGATGACATATTGCATGTTATTGCTCAAAATTCAACCAATGTTGTGGTGACCTGTAACTCTAGCGGTGTGATTTTGAGGGTAAAAACTTATTTTTTTAACTCATTTTACTTAAAAGAAAATATAATAAAAACCACTTTAAATCATCAAATAACCTTGAAATCACTTTTAAAAAATAAATTAAATCAAAAAATAAAAAAAGAAACCAGATCTTCTTTTTTAGACACACTTGTAGACAAAACCCATAACAATTTAAATTTTCTTATCAAATGAAATCTTTTAACATAAAAAATAATAAAAATAATTACCCAAAAGTATCCAAAGTGGTCTTTTATTTTCATTTGAATTTCTCTCTTACCTTTTTAACTCGAGGATTAATAAAAAATAATAATTTAGAACCACAATGGAAAATGTTTTTAATTAATTGTATGTTTTCTTTGTGTTTTATACTTTGGTTTAATATCTTGTAATTTTATATTTTTTACATAATTTCGAACCTAATTTATTGTAATTGGACTATAAAAGATTTTGATTGAAAGAAAAAAATAAAAATAAAAGCAAAAAATGAGTTTCTTTTCTGTTCATGTAAAACCAATCCCATCTTTTTTAATTATTTTGTTAACAAGCCATAATTATAAGACTGACTTGGTCAGCGAATCACTATATTTTACGGATTAACATGATGACTCACCTACTTAGGTTCCGGTTATGGATTGTTTTTACTAACATAATATAATTTTTAGTTTGTTTTTTTGAAAAAATCTCAAAAAACATAGTTTCAAAAATTAAAAAAATCTTGATTAATCTATCCGACTAACGATCCAATATTAGAGTCTAAAAGTCTTATAATTATATAATAACAAGAGAGCCCCAATGTTATACTGTTCTCGCCTCTTTGCAATAATTGATTGTCTTCGCTTATTAGTGCACCGACCAATCTTGCACTAAATACAATAATTATTCAATGACTTAGTTGAGCTATCTGTGTTAGTTGCTCTCATGCAAAATTGTCTTATGTGTATTTTTAGTCTTTAAAATAATATTTGAATTACATACTTTACTATAAAATAATAAGTATCAAACTCAATAATTATTAAAAAAACCTTATTCACTTACTTTTGGAAATGTATACCTTGTCGAAACTAATTTTAAGGGAGCCATTATACCTTATACTAAAATTTAGAGGTAGGAGAGTCATTTTCACGGGCATATTAGTCATTACTAGAAAATAAGGGGTTAAATGGTATTTTTACTTTTTTACATAATTGCCCATGAAAGACAAAAAAAATAATAACTTGGGTCAATGCTTTTTAATTTTTTATTTAATTTTTAAACAAGTTACCCTTGAAAATTAAAAACAATTGTCTTTGATTACTTCATTGCCCTTGAAAATTTAAAATAATTATCTTTGATATTGGAATTCTTTTATCATTTAATGTGGTGATTTGATTGTTATTGAATGTTATTGAAGATAGTAGGGTAATTTGATTAATAAAATTTTTTAAAAAAACTTAAAAATGTATAAAAAATGTTCGCTCCTTTTAAATGGTGTTTGTGACACCATTCAACGGCCAAAACTATAATTCCAGAGCAGTGATTGAAGTATCTCGATGTTCTCTGTATAAATAAGTGGTGTGTGTATCTCAATGGTGGTTGGGGTGGCAAGAGTGATCTTTGTGTGTTTTTTTTCTCTCCTATTTCATTTTTATTCTGACTTTAAAAAATAAAATCAACCTTAAAATTTGTTGTATTTAAGATTTTATTTTTATTCTCTTAAAAAAAAATCAAATCAATACCTAATCTCATGCTTTTTATCTTTTTTTTTTTAAATAAAAAAACCTTCTCACCTTTTCACCTATTCATAATGGTAAAAACGTTGATGAACAATAAAGAAATAAACTTAGTAACCAAGCTTACAAAGCTTTGGGGTTATTCCTCTCATCCTTGGAAGCGACTCCACTCTTTCTTGATCCCTCTGATCCATTACCATAAACATTCTCTAACTTTTCCCACATTATAGCTACCAAATCTTCATATATATCATTATTGCAATACAAAATCGATCCTCCTCCATATCCTTTAGCTTCACATCCTTCTCTTTCAACGCTTTAGCGAAGACTTGTTGAATAAGAATATTGTCTTTCACCCTTTGTTGCCAAAGAGTAAATTTTCTTCTTCTTCTTCTTTTTTAAATTTATTTCATGATAAATTTTAGCTTTTTATCTTTTGTAGACATTGATCTTTATAGAAAGCTGAATCCCCCAAAATCAAATCTTTGATGCTAATTTTATTGCGAAATTTAGAATGGAGATTCAGTACAAATGAGTCTCATCATCAAAATATATCATATTCATTTATTTTGCGCAAAATCTAATATAATTTAGGGATCATGTATCATATGATACTATTCATCAAAAGATTTAAATATTATTAAAAGTGATATATATATATATATATAACTAATTATTTGAATTAATCAAAATAAGAACAAATTAAAAAAATATATAAATTAAAGGAACAATTTGAAAATTTAAATGAAATGTTGTCATTTGGGTGTAAAAATAGTGGCTTAAATTTTTTGTGAGTTTTGATATCAAGTACTAAATTGAATAGTTTAAATTACAAAGGCTAGAGAACACGTGAAGTGTTTATTATTGTTTATTAAAAATTATCATCATCATCATCCTCGTTTTCTAGCTGTGTTTTAGCAAGGCCTTAATTAATACATACATTATTTTATGGATAAATAATATTAAAATTGTCATTGCTTTTGTGAATGATTGAAGTTCCTGAATTGCATGTAACAGTTCAAATTCTTCAAAACATATCCAACAAGTTGAACATCAGCAACTGGGCCACCATCAATCGAACTTCTTGCGATGGTGCACAGTGGAACCAGACCATCGACAGCAAAACTCAAAGCATTGTTAAATGCAACTGTACATTTGAGAATGGCTCCGTCTGTCATGTCACTAACATGTATGTATGTTTTCTTTATAAGAAATATTCAAGAATCGTAATTCTTCCCCGTGCAAAAGCCATGAGATTTATATATATTATTTTCATAATAAATTTTATGTTTTGTGAAAGAGTAGAATACAGCTCTTGGAATATCCGATAAGTTCTTTTTTTTTTTTAATGAGGTCATATTGATGGCGATACGTTCTCCTATTTTAAATGTCAATTTATGCTACTCTTTTAATAATAAAAGCACAAGCACAAATGTGTTCATGGTAGCATGTTTCCAAGGAAACAATTGATATATTGATGTTTGTCAAAAAAAATAAAATTAATGGAGAGCAGAGTCTAGGTATGGTTTCATTTTCTTTTCGTTTTATTTACTAACTAGTTCTTATATTTTGTTTTTGACAGAAGCGTGAAAGGTTTTAATTTGAACGGAGTTCTCCCAGAGGAACTAGGAGATCTTCCTCATCTGCTTGAAATGTAAGTGATGAGTGCATTTTCTACGATTCTTAATCAAGTTTATTAATATCATTATTGATTTGGGTTTCTTTTCTTCACATTTCCTGGCACACCATGTGCTTCACAGAGGATTTTAATTTATTTATCAGAACAAATCAAAGTTTTTATGATGATTCAAATGGGAAAAGGTCTTTGTCTGAGTGGCTAAGAGAAACACTGACTTGTAAACAAAAGGAATTATAGAATGACTAAGATGAAGCATTTTTCGTTGGACAGTGATCTGACTCGCAACTACATTAGTGGAACAATCCCTCCAAGACTTGCTCAGCTCCCCAACCTTAAGATTTTGTAAGTCTTTTTGTGCATTCTGTATATGTGAAGGGGTTTTCATATCCCGATATGGAAATTCATGAACATGTTAACCTGTTCCCAATTCTCTTCCATGTCTTAGGTCTCTCATCGTTAACCGTCTCACCGGCCCAATTCCCCCAGAAATAGGCAACATTACCACACTGGAGGAGCTGTAAGTCACAAAGCGAACTTCTTAAATGAAACGCTGAGCTAGAACGTTAAATCTTGAATTGGATCTTGCAGGGTCCTGGATGATAATCTGCTAGGAGGGCCTCTTCCTCCAGAACTTGGAAATTTGACAAGCTTAAGAAGACTGTAAGAAAGTGCCTTCATAGTTATACATTATACCATGTCTTGTAGATGTGTCTGTCTGTCACGTAATATTCGATCTCAGTTTTGTTATATATGGTACTGATACTTTTTACTGATTTTGGAGGAAGTTGTAACTTGGTTTTTCTTATTCCTGCAGTGTCCTTTCCTCAAACAATTTTACAGGAAGGATACCAGAGAAACTTGGCAATTTAAAGAATTTAACTGAATTGTAAGTGACGAAGTCGCCTGCAATCATTTTCACATTCAATATTTTCAGCTACAGTATTCATGATTTATATATATATGTTGCTGCAGTATGATAGATGGGAGCGAACTGTCAGGGAAGATACCTGAATTTATCGGGAACTGGATCAATATTGAAAAATTGTGAGTAATTAGTTTTTGTCCATTTATCTGCTCATGCTATCCTCTAGGACAAGCTAATTTAAATCTCATTTTCGTTTCCGTTTCCGTTTCTCAGGGATTTGCAAGGAACATCCATGGAGGGTCCTATTCCATCTAGCATGTCATTGTTAACAAGTTTAAAATCTCTGTGAGCACAAACAAGTTCATTTATTCCTGTAGTTTTTCAATCATCTTGCGATTTTGCTGTTAAGAAAGTTCATACGCATGAGCAACCGGTTTTTCTCTTCCAGGAGAATATCCGATTTGAATGGATCAAGTTCAACTTTCCCTAATCTACAGGCCATGAAAAACTTGGAAAATCTGTGAGTTGAATAACCCTGATCACGATTCCTATGTATTGAAAAGCCTTTCTAATTACTTTTGGATTGCCTTAACTATAACAAACTGATCGTTGTTTACATTCTTGCGACAGCATTCTGAGAAATTGCTTAATTAATGATTCAATCCCAGACTACATTGCAAATATGTCGTCTTTGAAAATTTTGTAAGTTTTTCTAACAGTTATCCGTATGGAAATGCTTGATTTCAAGGATCTTATTTCTTCCCTATAGATGTTATTTTGAATTCAAAAGAGGCAAATGATTGACACAAGCTTATTCCATCATTTGGCTTTTCATTGAAGATAGATAAAGGTGAATCAGAAAGGTCTAGCGATGGGTTGATCCCTTTATTTATTTTTGTAGAAATAAGAGAGAGTTGCCATAGTTTGTGCATATTTATGAAACAGGGTTGGCTAATTTGAACTACTTTTGCATATGATCGCACAGTTAGGACTTGGGACTCTCTCTCAATTTCCTTGAAACCTGAGCCACAATCTAGCAATGTTGTGATTTCATTAATTTGTATATATTTCGTTACAGAGATTTGAGCTTCAACAAGTTGACAGGCCGAATCTCTAAATTCACGAATTTGGGAAGCGTAACGGTGTAAGTCAATACGTGCACATGCTGAAACACACAAGTCCTTAATTTATTTTTCTCGTATTGGCAGCTTGTTTATTGAATTCTTGTTTAACATATGTGTAGGTTTTTGAACAACAACTTACTAACTGGAGAAGTGCCTAATTGGGCATTGAACAAAAAGAAGCAAGTGTGAGTCGATAATGATGCTATCAATCCTTGTATTCCTGTTTGGTTACCATATTATTCATCCTCTGTTAGATTTTTCAGAAATTTCTTGTCTCCCGTCATACAAGAAAAACGTCAATCTTCATTTTTCCACAATCAGGAACTGTATTACCCATACCATGGAAAATCTATTTCAGGGATTTGTCCTACAACAATTTTACGTGGTCAGCTTTAGAAGGGTCAGCTCTAGGTGGTTGCCAACAACTGAAGCAAAACCTGTAAGCATTATTTTGCTCATTATTTGTTTTCTCTTCCCTATTTGTCTCGTGTTGCTCATTATTCTACTTCAAAATTCAACAGGAACTTAGTTTCTAGTCATTTATCAAATAACAAGTAAGTTCCTCTTTTACTGAGATGCTTTGTGAAAACTCTGGAACTATGAATTGCCGACAGCTTGAATTCTTGTCTTTTAGCACTGATGAGTGGTGCTTCACAAAAGACCTTCCGTGCACACAAAATCCTGAATGTAAGTATGAAAGAAACCATAAAGCACTGATGTTCTATGAAAGAGTCATTACATAAAATCACCATGTTTACTGCCCTGTTGAAGGATATTGATTGTTCTGCAGATCGTTCCTTGTTCATAAACTGTGGAGGGGGCAGTGAGCCTTTTAATGATGATACATATGAAGGAGACTTAACTGATGGTGGGCCAGTTGCATTTTCCTTTCTACCAGGAAAATGGGGTTATAGCAGTACTGGGACTTATATGGAGAACAATTCGGTTCAAACTTCCATAGCAAAAAATGATTTTAATCTGGGTGTGACAGGAGTTTATGAAACTGCTCGCCTTGCTCCTCAGTCACTGAAATACTATGCCCTGTGTTTGCCAAAGGGAAAGTATAAAGTGCAGCTCCACTTTGCGGAAATTATGTATTCTAATGATCAGACATATAGAAGCCTTGGGAGGCGCATATTTGATATATCGATTCAAGTACGCAAAATGATTTTCAAAAAGCATGCATGCTTGTCTAAGATTTTGTTTATTTCGAGTGATTTTAATGTCCAGATATCCTCGTGAGGCCTACCATGTGTTTTGTTTGCTCCATAATAAGTTTTTATTATGCCAATGAAAAGATTCTTTACTACTGTTTGAAACTTTTCAGGGTTATAATTTGAACATTTTGCCGCAGGGGATCACACTTCGGAAGAATTTCAATATCATGGAGAAAGCTGGAGGAGTTGGCATCGGCATCATTGAGGTATTTGATAATATAATTGTTAACGGTAGCACACTAGAGATACACTTGTACTGGGCAGGCAAAGGCACTACTTTCGTTCCTAACAGAGGTGTCCATGGACCACTCATATCTGCCATCACAGTGACACCAAGTAAGTCATGGCATATTGAGAGTTTTGATTGATTTCCACCCACGAACTTCTCATCTAACTATTTCTTTCTCTACTTGTAGAGTTCAAGAACGGATCAGGATTATCAGTTGGAGCCGTAATCGGTATTGTAGCTGCTTCATGTGTACTTGCTGCGCTGTTTTTGCTGCTACTCCGATCGAAAGGTTACCTGGGAGGAAAGGAACTCGTAGACAAAGGTGGGACTGAAGGCATAAGTATCTCACTTGTTTGATTGTGCGTGTGTCGTGGCGCTTTCGATTTGTCTTGTCTGGCTGATTTTGAGATTCTCTTTTTGTAACAGAACTTCGCGGTCTGGATCTCCAAACTGGTTATTTCACGTTAAGACAAATCAAACATGCTACCAATAATTTCGACACTGCGAATAAGATAGGAGAGGGAGGATTTGGGCCAGTTTACAAGGTATTCATGCATTTTCAATTGGATAGGCATGCCCTCCTCTGATCTTACGTGACAAGACCTATACTTTTGGACCTAGACTTATTACATTGATCCATAAAAATATTTGTTGTTGGGTTATCCATATAGTTTGTTCAAGATATATCCTCATCTAATTATAGATACTCATCCGAATACTCAGAACCTTTACTCTCCACAAACCCGACTGCATCGCATCGCTTAGGTTGTGCACTTGGTTGTCTCGGGCCATGAATAAAATCTACCATGCTTGCAAAATAATTTTATACAAGGGGAAAGGACATTATCATCTTCAAATATTCTGAAATTTCAGTATGCGCCTTTGATTTCAGGGTGTATTGTCAGATGGTGCTGTAATTGCTGTTAAGCAGCTATCATCCAAATCGAGACAAGGGAATCGTGAATTTGTGAATGAGATAGGCATGATATCTGCCTTACAACATCCCCATCTCGTGAAGCTTTACGGCTGTTGTATTGAGGGAAACCAGTTGTTGTTAGTATATGAATACTTGGAAAACAATAGTCTTGCGCGCGCACTCTTTGGTACTTGCTTAGTTGACCATCTACTTTATATACAGTGAGAATATGATTGAGCTGTTGTTTGCCTTATTCCAATGTATCCTTGTTTTTCAGGTCGCGAGGAACACCAGCTTCAATTGGACTGGCAAACAAGAAGGAAGATATTGTTGGGTATTGCGAAGGGGTTATCATATCTTCATGAAGAATCAAGGCTGAAGATTGTGCACAGAGACATAAAGGCAACCAATGTGCTGCTTGATAAGGATCTAAATGCCAAGATATCTGACTTTGGTTTGGCCAAGCTTGATGAAGAAGAAAACACTCATATAAGCACGCGAATAGCTGGAACAATGTGAGTCCTCTCTCTCCCCATTCATCTCTCAGTTTAGTTTCTGACCTGTAAATAAATTAAGGGGTTAGTAAAATCTGCTATCTCATGACCAAATGCTCACCATTCAATGCTATCTTTCAGAGGTTATATGGCTCCAGAATATGCAATGAGGGGTTACTTGACAGATAAAGCAGATGTTTACAGCTTCGGAGTTGTTGCCTTAGAAATTGTCAGTGGGAAGAGCAACACGAATTACAGGCCGAAAGAGGAGTTTGTTTATCTTCTTGATTGGGTAATATATATACATCTTTTACTCTCAGAATGTCGTCCTACATATCTTACATTTTCTGTGACCAGCAATGAGCATAACTGATGGAAGATGCATGGCCTTGATTTTGTTGTTGTTTATCTCCTTTTTAGCTACCTGTCTTTTGCATGAATTCTAGCTGCTTAATTTTCCCCCATGAATTTTCATGAAAGGCTTATGTCCTGCATGAGAGAAACAACCTTCTTGAGCTTGTGGATCCAAGGCTTGGTTCAAGCTACTCAAAAGAAGAGGCAATGAAGATGCTGAACTTGGCTCTCCTGTGCACCAACCTATCTCCCTCTCTGAGGCCATCGATGTCCTCCGTGGTGAGAATGCTTGAGGGCAAGATTCCAGTTCAAGCCCCAATAATCAGCCGTGGTAGCACGGACCAGGAAGCAAGGTTCAAAGCCTTCGAGCTTCTATCACAAGATAGCCAAACACAGGTCTCCACTCTCTCTCAGAGCAGTCAGGTGCAGAGCAGCAGCATATCAAGGGATGGACCATGGGTAGATTCCTCATATTCCCTCCAGAGTAATGATGAGACTAAGGATCTTTATCCCATCAACGCAGATTGACCGATGGAAATAATTAAGATGAAAAACCCCTATTCATTTAAGGTGTAATAATATTATGGCTGCTAAGTGCTAAGAGAAGAAATCGTTTTGTAGGGCTTGTTAGAACAAGCGATTGGGACTATTATTTTTTTGGCACAAGTACACCATCCATGTTGCATTAAAAAAACATATTTAATTTAAATACAAAAACCAATCTAATAATTTAGTTACATTCATCAATAGCAATAAATTTTGCATGATATGATTGAAAATAAATCGTTTAAGTGCATGTGTTATTCAATTTCTTATGCGATGAATTAATCTTTGTTTATTTAATTTTCTCTATATAGTTTTTTTCTTTTCTTTGCT